AAATATAAATATCTCACAGCTAATTGTTTTACAAGTTCCACTATCGTGAGATTCGCAAGCGAAGGAGCAGATATATATAGAAGGACACCACCTCCTACGCTACATCTGTGTCTTTTACTTCTTATGTTATAGAATCCGGATAATTCTGGAGTAATGTCAAAGCCGTGGACTGACTGAGTTTCTGTCACAGATACAATAAGTAACCCGGAATGGGAATTCGCCAATGACTTGCCAACCAAGTGAGTGCTCTTAGTTTTCACCTTTTACTTCTTTTTTGCCATACGATCGTCCATTTTTTATCACTCTGGACAGATACACCGAGACTATTAGGAACGGTGACGGTTTTATCCAGTTCTTCAATTTCTACTCTAGATGCATGACTACCCATATCCATATCAAGTGGCGCTTCACTCTCCGTTAACAGCATGTACTGTATTGACACATATTTCACTGTCAGTACTCGTGTTACTTGCACAGCCACCATCTCTCTTCTTATAGACCGGAAGCTGGGAGGCTCACAGCCTCCTGGATCAGTAACGCCTCATTCGTACAGAAAAACATAAAAAGCCAACGAGTGTTAGGCTTCAAGCATCTTTTGTATGCGATGGAACTTAAACGGTCACACATCCTATGGAACCACTTTTTACATTCATCATATTGTATTCCTTCTTCCACAGGGAACAAGTGATTTGGCTGTTCACATTTATAAGTACTACCAACCAATGGAATTAGATTAAGAAGGTTCAAAACACAATATGAACACAGGTATCAGAACCAAAGAGAAATAAAGTGCCAGAAGACGAAATTAAGCAAAAGATCGAACCTTAATCGAAATACTTCATGTTAGGTCAATAATGTTTTTGACGCAACACGTACACAAGGGCGAATTAATCACAACAAGTACCGCAAAAATAGGATCTGGTAAATTATGGAAAGATATTGTCCTTATTTCTTAAGACCATGTCAGATTTTCTCATAAAATAACTCCTGAGAAGTCGCGTGGACTAACTCAGCCAGTAGCGAAATCCAACGTTTAACTACTCTCAAGAAATAAAAGGTGTGCCTACAGCCCGCTCAGGTGTGTTGCATTTCCAGTTTCTGAGTGTTACTCCAAAGTTTTTGTAAGGACTAAGCTTAAGGGGTTAACTAAAAGTGTTTAAGATGCTATAAATCATTAGGTCAACCCCACGACTCCTGCACTCTAATGGGTAAACGTTCAGTGATTAGAGTTGATCTTGATAAAACTTGAATTTGAGTCCACGAACTGATATTATGGCTTGCCGTTGGATACGTTCCACAATATCCTTATTTTTGTGTAGTCAGGGGTGAAATAATATGTTTCTGCACTCTTTTCGACTTGAGATATTTCTAAGGGGGAGTAATCCGAGCTGTATTCGTTGTCTCTGGCACACCTCAGACGGACTGCCTTACACTTTTGAGAGTTAAAGGTAGGTCCGCTGTTGTCTGCTCAACTGTGAAGTCGAGTAAGATCCTCCTGATGTGACAGTTTATACTCTTGGTTGCAGACTTCTCTACAGAGATTCATATCGTCAGCAAAAGTACGAAATTTGAAGACACATTCAGCAGGAGATTGTTTTAATAAATTAAAAGGTAAGAGGCCCTAATACCGAAGCCTTGGGGACCCCACAAGGATATGTACTGGCCTGAGAAACGTAGTTCAGGGCTTGACATCGGTGAATCATCAGTCCTCTAAGTAAGAATCAGATGTGTGAAGTAGGCGAAAATAAAAATGAACTTTAAATATATCACATTCATTGAGTATACTGTCATAATGTACCTAAAAAAGCATTTCGTTGGTTCAGTAGATGGAAAAAGCCTTATAAATAATGATCAACCATTAGATTTTGATTTCATCCCTTGAATTCCATGGTATTTGAGTTAAATGTATCACTTGTACAACCAAGATGTACTGGCTTTAGCATGTTTTCATCTCAGTGAGTTTGTAAACCGTATAAACAATTATTCCTATGTACGTCTAGCGAACTAGAAGGGCGTTTTAAATCGTTTTATGGATATATTTTGTTCATTTAAACTAATACATTTTTATCTTAAACTGGATATCCCATTACTTGTGACATTTCAGAGTTCTCAAGCCAGATGTGATTGATCTAGCAGGAGACAGGATTTGTGAAGTTGATAATATTATTTTTTTGCTAGAGTAAAGTTACGCTATTTTTAAGGCATGATCGACAACTTGCAGCATTAGTTTGTCAGGTAGCGCGAAATCTAGGTCTATCGTTTCCTGTCGACTACCTCCAACCACCATCTTAGTGGTACTGGTGCCTTCCTTTGAGTGCATTTATGCCATGTTCTCAGTTTCCTCAGATCACCTATATGTGTTGTCAATAGTTATATATATACAGATGGTATTATCTGATTCCTTTCGTTACATTTGGTGCTTGAATTTTGTAATTTGTTGCATTTCACACATACATGTTTGTTTGCTTTGAAATTCTACCAACCTTGATCAAGAGAAATTGATGAGTTCACTATGTTTTTTTTATTTATTTAGTATGTATACAATCTCATTTATGAATAATACAAATACGTTCAATAAAACATTCAAAAATGTTTGACTTAATCAAAATTTGTGCATACCGTACAATCATTACGGTTATAATCTGATAAGTGTCTTGCAAACATACTGACGATGAGATAAATTATTCGTGAATTACAGGTGTTCAATTTACAATTTGGGACGCACCTATGAAAAAGTGTCATGCATGAAATTTCGAAAGTTCTGGGTAATCAATTTGAATAACGTTCAAATTGTTCAGTGATTAACACGTACTTCTGAATAAATCAGAACTCAATCATTCAGTGAATAAGGTGGCATGATTTTTAAACAAATGTAGGTGAGAATAAAAAATAAATATATAAGTCTTGAATAGATCATATAACTCAATTCTTACTTCAACGCGTCACCATCAGAGCTACATGACAACAAATAAACAAAATTATTAAAGAATATGAAATCGGTTGGTTTTTAAGGAATTGGAGCTTTGTAACCCTCGTTCTATCTATAGAAAAATTCGGAGTAGTAGTTAATAGGTATTATGGATGCCCAGTTATTCGGAGTTTGACGACGTCTTTATATATAACACCTTAATAATCAAAGTATACCAACACAGTAAAATCAGAAGTCGGAAATGAAAGGGTTCGAAAATGTCGTTGGAATTTTTTCACTATGTTAGCAAGCGTTTAGTGTGAACTGGCTGACAGTTGTAAGGGATGCGTGACACATCGTACGCACTCGTGATCGTGTGCAGTTGGTGGACTGAGCGATTTCGGCTATGTCTAGAAAAACTAATTGGGTTTGAATCAATGTTGAAGATGCACAGAAATATTTATCTTGGGGATTTATTTATAGTCCTTGTCTAGATCATGGAACATGTGAGTTCGGGGGCGAGGTTCTCTTTTCTAAACACATAGTGTTTTCAACATTCAGTATAGAATAATAAGAAATATGATGCCTACGCAGAACCAGGAAGTAAATAACCACTTAAGCTATAATATGTCGATATTGCTAATACGTTTTTCACCCACTGGTGACCAATGTAATGTAAGTAATTTTGGCTCGATCAATTTATTAAGGTAAATATGACGGTTCGGTTTCCGCACGGTATTGCGGAATCACTAACTCATCAAATCTTTGACCTTTTTCTTATACAATCGATGGCAACCACCACTTATTCAACATTCAAAGATAGTCTATAGGTTTCATGCAGCTATTTTACTAGCTTGTTAACAAATCTCGGTTGTATATACATTTGTCCCACAAATTATCGCCCATGATTTGCAGCAGGAGTCATCTACATAGGAATGAGAGTTATTAAGTGAATAGAAAGTAAGAAGAAGAGGCAAGAGAGTCTGAGAAAGTGCTGTGAGTAGGCTTCCCAACAATATGCTGATGAGGTACGATTCTTTCAATCTTTGTTCGACTTTCATGTATTGATTCACCTGCCTCTTGAATCGCCCCCAAGATAAAAATAGTGATGGACCTTTCTCGAAAATAAGTGCTGAAAGTCAGTCAAATCTGAAGAAGTGATTCAATTTTTGTGCAAAATAATCAAACACAAAAATAAATGCACAATTACAAGTGATAAGTGTTCATTTCCACATGAATTTTGCTTCCAGAACGGGTTAGTAATTTGGAAGGGAATAGACACAGTGAAGACATCTTCGGCACGAAGATGCAAGTAAACATAAATTTAGTTTTTTGTGAGAAAATATACATGAATCTGTTGTAAAATGAATTCGTCAGAAAATTCGGCCAAGTGTATGACCTTGAATCTGTGATGAATTCCTACTAAAACCGGGTTTGTAACCGCGGATATAATGTTCGCTGACCAGGAGAATCATCATAAGATTAGGAAAAATATGATAAAAATACTGAGGGTCCTAGAATCAAATAGTCTTTTTAGGGTCAGCAACATAATAGGATTGTTACAGAATAACTATTTGAATGATTTGTTGTTAATATACATGTTATAATAAGACAATAAGATGTATGTACCATTGATTACGTTCATATATTATATAATGAGTTTGGGAAGAGCTCTTTTAGCTCTTCTACAACGAGCTGCTGAAATGCTTACATGCTTTCAACCCACGTTGATGTAGAACAGGAGGCTAAATGGCCTGTGTTAGATCTGGCCAATAATATTGATATTATGTACCTTAAAAAACTATCTGTGTGTCAATATCTCCTATCATGTGTCTCTTCCAGATCATCTGCAGAAGGTTCAAAACTGAGGTCTAATAATCTCAAGGTGCGGCTTTGTTTGTCTCATCGAGTGATGAATGACTGAAGCGCTCTAATGAACAGGTAGCACTGCTTTACTGATAAAAGCATTCGAGAAACAACTTAATTTCCACAGAAGACAATTTATTAGATGGGAACATTACTAAAGAATTGGTTAATTTAATAAGGTAGGTTTAAACACAACCTACCTTGGAATTTTCAAGGCCAACTCTCTATTTCCGCGCATTTAAGAAGTGGCGCTTTTTGGGCCTTTCATTTTATCGCGCAGTGTGGGTGTAGATTTCTACTGATCATTTGGTACTCCTTAATCAAAGTACGCATTTGGTTTTAAAGTCGTATTGTTGTTTTGCTTTTTAATTCGCGCCATGTTTCAGGACATTGATGATTTCATAAAATCCACGCAGTGATCACTGCTTTAAAAATACTGGTTTGTACATAAGGTGACCATTTGATCTCCTGCTTCCGTATTTTGCAACAACCACAAAGTTCTGGTGCACTTGTTACCATTTATTTATGTGCTTGGATAAGCCTAAACAGCCTTTCTGTAACTTCGAACCATGGCTTAAATATTTATTACAGTAACCACAAAAATAGGGAAGCCGATTTTAAGATTTTATTACGAATAGAGGCTTTGTTTTGTTTGAACACCTTTGACTTCTTTATAGCGGTTTCAGTGGTTCTCGTCCGGATATATAAGCCTATATAATTGTAGAAATATTTTGCGTCCGAGTAAGCCTGAGATTTTGGTTACTCTTTCGGGGTTTTTAACTTCAATCCTCCTAGATCATACGTATGTGTCTTGAGAGAATTTTCAGAATTATCCCTTATCTAAGTGCCTCACGTTTAGCTCTGCCTTATCAATTCCTTGTGAAGTTTGACCTATCATTGATCTGTAACTAACCAATGTGGAAACAGATTTATGTAATAGTAGTAGGTTTTAAATACGAACTTCAGTTGGGATTGACCTTGAAGTGCATTCCAATATCTAGAGCTGAGTATATCACTCCTGGTCATATCCAGTGTTCTCGATCAGTGTTTGCAACGCTTTTAGAGCTTGGGCAAAAAGGAATACTTTAAAGAATTTTATGGGTAAATATTCCGAGGTAATAAACGAATGCTAATGTGCAAAACCAAAGTAATTTCAGATTTTTTGTTGGTGTATTCCTAGGTTATATAAAGGCTCCACATCAAATAAAGTGAAAATGATCAACCGTCATCCGAGTTTTAGTCATTTTGTTGCATAAAAATCCTTTCATTTAAATTTAAGGCGTATGTCTATCGTGTGCGCTCTATGAGCGGAATAAAAATCACTACGCATCGAATATCGTACGTGGTAAATCCTTTGAATCTCTGGTAGAGTGATGTACATTTCGAAAGTAAACACTACTTGAAGTGATGATAGTTTTACCGTAGAGAACCTGTATGAAATTTTTGCTATCCTTAATTACTTATTAGTATACTTTAAGTGCTACTAGTTATTTAGCCTTTTGAATCGGAAAACTTCTTGACGACTTGGCGAACACCGTGACGTTTTAATCTGTTTTGTACATATGATAATTCAAAATCCATCTCCGGTTATTCACTGATGATAGCATAGATTTTCCTCATCAGCTATTCAACAATGTAGGAAAGACCTATTAAATGTTAATTATTGGCCAGTTAATAAATCACAGTTTGCTTGTCATTACTATTTCGTTGTGTTATTTTGAATGTATCGCGAATATTTGGGTATCTGTATTTGGTCAATTTTTTCGGCGCATTTGATTCGGACACGACCTACCCATACCTAATATTTATTTAAATTTCCCCTATATTGTTTCATGAGCCTTTCCTTTTTCTTAAAACCCTCATAAGCTTTTGAATTTTATTATAATCTCGTGGGCTTTATGGAATAGGGTGTGCTAGTCTTCTACCGAATTTATTCACTTTCCATATCGTTTCTCGTCTTGAACTGTGTACATGGTACCATAATTCAAAAGAACGTTTCAGTACACAAAAGTTCATAGACATCGATTTATCTTGTATATGCACCAACTCCATATGTGATATTTTAAGCTGTAAAAGTTTTCGTACCAATTATTTTGTGGTCTTTATATTTTATTTGTAATTCAATATATTTGTTTATGAAACATTTTGGTTTGTGGGTTTTAAAGCTGATATTCTTTTTCCTATTAACGTTTGAAAATGGTTATCTCCTTTTAAATGAGATTTATATACAATCTCTTTGTTTATTCTGATATTTGTTGTTTTCCACCATCCCACAAGTGCTTGTTTTACAATTAATTGGGGCTTTCATGAGTTCAGTGGTTATACAGAAATGGCTTTCTGCCTTTTAATTTTCCGCTTAACCTAGGGTTATGTATCAGTAGTGATGTGATTTCGAACATGTTATTTTCTAGTGTCCGTCTCTGCGTCGTGTGGTATCCTGACTAACTTTTGAATAGTTAACTGAACAAACATTACTTGTGTAGTTTTACTGTCATATCGCAAATTGTTTCATCCTTTTTTTCACCAAATTGAGGTTTTTCATCGTTTTGCTCTGGGTTTTGTGTTCCTTTGATTAATGTAGTTGGATGTACCTCCTAGCCCCCCCCTAAAAGTTAAATACTTGTATATCGGACTTATTTGTCCGTATCTTAGAATTCAACGTAATTAGTTGTTAGATGATCCTGATTTCATTTCTCGATTAGTTGTTTACGTGACAGATAATCTGTAGTCTTGTTATCTCAAGTGACTTCTTTATTTTAAGCGATAGGTTTGTTTTTCTAGCAATGTACAGTTAAATAGCTCTGTTTCTGATGTTCGTTCGTTTAACTTTTGACCCTTGGTTTCATGTAGATTTACATATCTACTCACTTTACTCAACTATCAGCTAACTATCATTCATATTGGTGTTGAATGGGATAAATAGGTGTTTCTTGTCTTTTTTAAGTAACGTGCTTTTGTTTCTGTCTTTCATTCAAAACTCAGCCATAAGAGATATGCTGTCTATATTACTATGAAAACTAGGATAGTAGAAGAAAGTGGAAGCAAAATGTAGAAGTACCAGTCAGAAGACAAAAGATGATACTATTACCTTTATAGTAAATAAATATCTTTTCCTTGGAAGTAATTCTGTCTACTCAGTACACTAAAATACGCCAATGAAACTCAACACTTTGTTAAAGGGTTAAACTAAGTCTGTTGGATAGTTTGTAACTAAATATTGTCAGCTTACTAGAGACTACTAGTTAGTGTCAATATTACTGGATTTTTACATGTTTCACCTTTGTAATCTATTTTTAGTTGGATTATTGTAGTACCTGAAAACCTTATGGGTGCTGATTTTTTTTCAGGCTTCCTACATGGATAAAAAACTGGCTGAATCTATTGAAGAATGGATGAAGCATGACAAGGTAACTGCCTTTTCGTTTTTATGTTATCGACTTTGCTTAAGAATGAAAACACTCGCTCACAAATCAAGTTACTGAAAGATAAAGAAGCGTGGAATGAGTTACGAAAGTTATTGCTAGAAAGAATGGCATTTGGGACTGCTGGTTCGTATAGTTTAGAGTTTCACTGATATTTTTTAGGATTACGAGCAAGAATGGGACCAGGATATTCTCAGATGAATGACCTAACAATTATACAAACAACTCAGGTAGTGAAAATTAGTCTTAATCCCTATCAGCTTCAAGGGTTTACTTAAGTATTCGCTAAAAACATTCTCAGGTCTCAAGTCAGATGGAATTATAGTTGGTTATGATGCTCGACATAATAGCAAAAAGTAATCGTTTTTCAACTAATATGTCCTATCCATCTAGATGGGCGCTTATTGTCACTAATATATTTATTAATGCTGGCTGTAAAGTGTACTTGTTCAAAGATACATTCCCAACTCCTATGGTCGCATTTGGTGTTAGGCTTTTCAAAACAGCCTTGGGTGTTATGATTACTGCATCACACAATCCGAAAGATGACAATGGTTACAAAGTAAGTATAGCTTTCTTAACCTAGTTTTTTAAAGGTTTACTGGTCGAATGGATGTCAGATAATCAGTCCCCATGACAGTGGTATATCAAGTTGCATCCTTGAAAGCTTGGTACCTTTGGAAACTTCATGGAACATAGATAATATTGAGGCGAATCCTCTCTGCTTAGATCCAATGCCTAGGCTTTTGAAAACTTACTGTCGACTACAGAAGAGTAGACTTTGTTTTACAGAGTAAGTTGTGTTTGCTTTACTATATATATATAATTCCTAGTTTACAAAAAGTAGGGTAAAAATATCTGATAGATGGATCTACCTTAATCTGCGACTAGATAGCCTCCTACGTACATCGATAAATGTTTAACGAAAGAAATAATATATCTAATTATTTGAAATGTTTTCTGAAGCAGTCTGTTGTAGCTTTTCCATCGTTTGTCTTCCGAATCTAGTCCACCATTATTGTACGTTCATATTCTTGGAAAACTTCAAACCACCCATTATTCTGCCCTTAAAAACGTCTCTGTGGAATAAAATGATTCACAATTTTTCTTTTGCCGATTTATTAACCATGTTACACAAAAGTTGCCAGTCTCCGATCATTACCAAAGTTTCAGTATTTCAGTGGTTGGTATTTTAGTTTATTCATAGGATTCTGGGAATTATTAAGCTATTCCAAGCATTGTTTTTTGATACTGCTAGTTCTATAAGCCATGCGACGAAGCCATTCTGAGTATGTTTAAGGTCTCAAGGAAATTCTTTTCTGTCAGCTTAAATCATTGATGTTCAGTACTGAAACTCTGGATATTAGTGCTTATTTGTTAGCTCCAGTGGTAACCACCAATTTCGACTATCTCGAGAGGTCCGACCATACAGCTCAAGGACAACATAATCCTTCAGGGCTCAAAACGGTCGATTCCCTCTTATCATCTAAAATCAAATACAGTATGTCGATGTGTGGCACGTCTTAGTTCTATCATCCTTGAGAACTTGACAGTGACATTGATTAGTATTTTGAATTCAACTCGTATACATTCTTGTTTTCTGTGTGAAAAAAGTGTATAGGCTGAACACGATTAATCAACTTTCCTTCGAAGTAAAACGTATTTATAATGATCTGTAATTAATTTGTAGAGTTTATTTTTTATTTTCTTTACTTTTGGTTTTAATTATTAGATCTGAAAATATAAAATGCAAAACCCCTTTTGTGTATACGCCTATGCACGGCGTAGGTTGGGAAGCAGTTAAAGCACTAGTTTCGTGTTTTGGGTTTCCTCCACTTGAACCAGTTCCTGAACAGGTATGTTCTGGTTTCCTGTAATCTGCTTTTTTAAATGTATATGATGTATCGTAGATATTTAAACGTTTCCAACTACCCCTCTACTTGATTAATACGTGAACACAATTTAAGCACATTCAGAAATATATGTTGCTCATCAAACAAGTGTAACGCTAATATTACTACGAAAATCATTTAGCATCCAAAGAATCCTCTTCGCGCCTAATCATACTTAGTTCAAATCATTCCGAGTTTTGAATACACATTAAAATTAATGAACATATTATAATATTTCGATGACTGGCACTTCAGTAAAATACTCCAGTAATATTTAATCACTTGGTAAATCACATTCTCCTTGTTATTTGAGGCGGATCAAAAATTTCCAACGGTATTCTTAAACTTTTATTGCAAGTTTTAAGCTTACTGATCAACTATTCTAACGAAATAGCTTTTCAATGTTATGTTTGCTAGTAACATTAGTCACTGTCTGCTTAAATACTTACATGGTACTATTGTTAATGAAACTGAAAAAAACTATTGATTAACAAATAAATTTTAGCCCAAGGGAAACAACTAACCGTTTAAAGTGCTTTACAATTTCATTTCTTTAATGCTCCTCAGGATACGTATAAGTTGTTCTATTTCAATCAAGACTCCTATTTTCAGGCTTTTCGGCCTGGATACAAACTAGAGGTTAAGCGTTCGCGCGCGGGATCGTGGATGCACACTGCTGAGGAGTCGTCGTCAAGTGCTTCCAGGTTTCTGATGATGGTCTAGCTTAGATTGGCTCGTGAACTCAACTTCGAAAATACTGCGATCTCCACAAATCCTCTAAAGTCGATAAACTATTAAACCATTGATTCTTGTTCCAATAAATGGCAGTTTTGATTTGGGTTAATTCATGATGTATCCTAACTGATTCACTAGTATCAATTGTAATCTCAGTTTCGGAATGATCCAGTTAGTACCAAAAGTTGGAACTCCATATTCGAATTTTAAGTGCTCGTCACCAGAGTTATGTCTCTACCAACCTAATGTTTTCGAATCGTTTAAAATTATTCTGTACTACTCTGAAGCGTATTCATTTGTTACTACATATGTTTCAGTTTACAAGATATAAAATGATTTTCACTAAAAAGTATAAATTGATTTTCGTTATTGACTTCGTGATTTGGTTCATATCTAAAACTCAATCCAATTTATACTTAATATTGGAAGTTGTACAGGGTTTCATATATTTAATGTGGTTTTGTGAAATACAATCTAGTTAATTCTATTCGAATACATTGATAAGAGTTTTTCTTACTGTCTATCCTAGTGCTTGTATCGATAATCACTGATTTTTATGCCAGGTTGCTTTTTAACAATGCGGATTTCAGCAATCGTGTTGACTTGCTTTATAAGCGTATCATCCACACAAAAACTAACTCGAAAAATTTATAATTTCGTACTTACAACTTTTCTTTAAAATCTCTAAAGATAATGCCTGATCCAGACTTTCCAACTGTTGACTATCCAAATCCAGAAGAAGGTCGTTCTGCACTCAATTTAGGTATTAAACATGCGGAATCTATTAAAAGTACCATCATTTTTGCCAATGATCCAGACGCTGATAGACTAGCAGTTGCTGAAAAACAAACATCGTAAGTTGATGAACACATTTAGTCTCAATCAGTTAAATAAAAAACGTGCTGTACGTTTGCAGTTAAAATAAGCGAAGATTTCTTTGTAAAATTTATTTAAGTTTCTTACCTAAGGTAAATCTAAATCAGTTATAGTAAAATATTTACAATTGGTTGGTCACTATGTAGTGACTAATATCACGTTTGTCCATTTGTTTAGTACTGATCAAATCTTGTCCATCAAGCCGCAATGTGGTCACAAGCCTAAGTGACTCGACATCGCATGCACTAAGTTGATATGTTAGGTGGTTAACACGTTCCGTGCTATTTGGAAGTTGCCAACGACGTATACTTGTAGTTCTGAGGGAACTAATATTTACTGGTTGATTCAAACCTGCGTCACCCAGCTTCACGGTGTGAAATATCACCACTGACCTATTCGAACAGCGATACGGATTTCGTAGATCAGTTAATTCCCACTGAAATTAATGCCTGTTTATCAAGCCTTACTCTTTTCTTATCATGCCAGTTACGTCAATTTCTGTAGTAATAATTCTATGCATCTGTCTAATACTAGTTACTACAGATTACCAACATAATTTTGGTGAAGATCCATAGACATATGTTTTCAAATCTAAACAGATCATTATACATCTTGACCGAAAATGTTTGCCTTGTTACAAGTCAATATTTTATTAATATTTTACTAAAGAATATCATATGTATTTAATTGGTAGTGGTCAATGGAAAATTTTCAGTGGCAATGAACTTGGAGCTTTATTTGGTTGGTGGTTATCTTTGCAGTGGAAAATACACAATCCTCAAGTAAAACGTATGTTATTACAAAAACACATTATTCAAATTTTGAAGCGTTTTCTTTTATTAATCTGGGATTCAATATGGCTTTTTTTTAAATAATAAAAGCTTGTTGTTTAACTAATCCAATTTTACTGAAACTAAGAGTTAAGTAGGAGAGATATTGTATTTATTGAGTAAAGCAAAGTTATTATAGTTGATTATATGCACATAGACCTTGTGATACATATCTTTTGTTGTTGTTCTTGCCACAGATGTATGGTCTAATCTCTTTTCCTCTACACCTGATATTGGAATTTATGACATCCTGTTATCCTAAATATTTTTATTTTCACTAGTATTAGGCTAATATATTTACAGTTTTAGAAATTTATTTTTTAGTAGGTTAATTTGATTTTTATCTTATCAATTCAGCCCAGTCAAGTACGTAATGGTACTTAGTTATGATTGTTAAACTAATATATATATACTTATTTATTTTATTTAAACACATAAATATAGGTACAAGAAGGCACCTAATAGATATGCGCCACATAAATCACTCAATTTGTGTGAAGGTTAGGATGCTGCCCAGGTGCTCAAACCGAAGTAGATGGTTTTCTTAGAGGACCACACCCAGAGCCTTTGACCTAAAGGTCTAATCCACAAGGCAGTGGAGCAATGTCAGGAGATGCAGTCCCATGGTAGCCGGTAACCAGCAGTTGTTTCATACGCCATTTGTTCCTTCAGGATCCTGGAGCTGATGTGCACAATTTGTTTGGAATCAGGGTTTTCCAACTCCCCTAGGTGCACCCTCCGTGTCCACCGACCCGGTTAAAGCACTAGACATTCGCTTTTCGTCTTCTCAATTTCGTAAACAACAGTGATGCCGCGAAAAGGCAGTGAGTAGGACTTCCCTTTGCAGTGGCTGTATACGCGTGGCCATATGATAGCACTTCGAGAGGGAGAGTTGACTCTCCTCACTCTTGACCGTACCAGTGCATTTGGGAAGCGAATATCTATTCACTTTTCATTTTACTTTAGATTTCGAGTTCGATCATTCTATAATACATACCTTTTCACTTGTTCTTCTCGAACTATATTGTTAATGCTTAATCATTCTTATTTTCATCGCTACATTATTTCGACTCCATTTGTATTCCTATGGTCAGCTTCATCTCGGTCTTTTATGGTATAGCAGCTTCTGCTCATACACATGTATGCCAGGCTCTAGTTCGATTATGACTGACTAATTAAAACTAGTGAAATGTGTTTATGTTATGATGATGTCTAAAAATGTTTAGATTTGTTGGGTTTCACAACTCATCAATACCTTTTCATGACCCAGTAAACTAAATTTTTTAATTTCTTTCTTCCTTGTTAGTGTCTAGTTGATATTCTAATGTATTATCTATTTTTTTTACTCGTTCAAAATTCACTATCATTTATGTATACGAATATAATGTGTTATTTAATTGCTGTTTATTAAGGTAATGAGAGATTTATTGTAAAGAATTAATCTTCTCGATTCCGGTTGTTACAAAATAGTCGAAGTATTTTTATCCCATAGATTCTTCATTGTCGTGCTACTCTATTAATGTTTAGAATGTAGGTACTTGGTTTTTATTTTATTAATTGCGCGGAGTTCGATAGTTGACTGAGCAGTTAAGTTTTTTCAACACCAATCCTGGTTAGCTGACATTTTTGGAAACTTGTGTAAATTAAAATGTTATATGTAATAAAAAAAATTCGTACAGTTAACTATATTTTCCATCTACATAAAAATACTGCAGATCGTATCTTACCTTCGTTTTATATATATATATATATATATATATATATATATATATATATATATATATAAATAAAGAATATGCATAAACCATGTAATTAATTACTTTGTTTATAGTTAAATTCATAAAAAATAGGTTCATATAAGTTAGTTAGCTTCTTAATTATCTTATAGACAATCATATGTTCATACAATCGATACTGTTAAAAAATTATAATATTTAGAACTTCCGGTATATATATATATATATATATATATATATATATATATATATATATATATATATATATATAGTAATGATGATTTAACTACAAACTGTTGAATGAAAAACTAGGTGTATTCAAGATTCCTATGAAATAGAATTGTCAAGATACTTAGTAATCAGTCATATTTTGCTATATAGTTAGATAGTGCTCATCAGGGGTTGAAATTAGTTAGGAAAAACATTGAGCATCATAAAGCTTCAGATAACAGGTCCTTCTTGATCTGCGACTAATGTCAATGTGTAACAGTGTAGTTTCCGAAGGTTTTCCAACATCCAGTGGCAACAGTATGTTAGTAACGCTGAGGTTCGAAAATATGCGTTCGAGCTTAATGATGGTAAATTACATAGTGTCACCACCTACAAACACTGACTTCGGCAACTTGAAAATATTTTGCGATCATCCCAGCGACCTCTATATCATTCATTATTTGCCGATACTGTATGGCACATAATATTTTTGGCGCTTGGTTGTATCAGAATTTATGCTCATTAAGTAGTATTATATATATATTCGAGGCGACCGTTTCACTTTTTGTCTCATACCGCTGTTATATAGAAATTTGTTATAGTATCATTCTTTAGAATGTCGAGAAATATCTTAAACTTAATAGCGAAAGTAAACTTTTATGATCAATTTTGCTATATGCATATCGTTTTCTTTAAAAACACCACAACTCAAAAATGAACAATTTTCTACCGAAATTCACAAGCTATTTAGACATTCCTCTTAAGAAAAAGTTTAAACTACTTTTTTTCACTCATTAGTTTCATTCTTATTCTGAATATTCAGGTCGAGAAAATAAAAAAATTTTACTACCCAGTAATATAGCTACAAGAAAGTATTTTTTTAAAATACTTAGACAAAACAGTTATGTAGAGAAATATCAAGTAATTGTTAGCGCGGCAGAGCAGTAGTAACATTAATGCTAATACAACATTGCTTAATCTGTTACTTTTTTGTTAAAGTTTTGAGAAAATTAAACATTGTCTATTTGTTGTCAAGTTTACCTGTTACTATCCTTTCCCTTTAAATTTTGCATGAAGAAACGTGTTAATACTCCTGTTTTATGTATGTAAACTTGTATCGAATAAAACTAGAGTCTCATATTCATCTTAGGGTAATCATGTATTACAGACTATGTTTATAGAGGATAATCAATATCCTTGAGAGATTAACAGTTCACCTTGTGCTTTTTTATTTTCACACACTTAGTTTAAACCTACAGTGCATCAAAATTTGTCAACTGTTAGCCAATGTGAAATAACGATATTTCTAAAGGCTCTTTTTACAAATCAGATTAAACTATGCTCAAAAGCGAATTATTTAAGTTTCAAATAGAATCTAAGTATATTTTTTTTACAAAACAGTACAACTAGTACAATCGAAAAACCCATATTTGCTGACTTGCATTATATTCAAGAACTATAAGGTTTACTGAAATAAATGTAGGTACGTTTTGAAGTCAGTGAAGTACTAGTTTCTTTATGGAAAACTAAGCATTTATATTGTATATGTAAGCAAATGAATAACTTCACGTTCAATAATTATTATTTCTATCAATTTGCATTAAAAACAATTTGAAATGATTGTCCCTCTGGCTATTTATTGACAAATATAATAGTGTTTTTTAGGTTCAAATGATTAATTTCCCAATTGATTTTTATCGTAGCGTAATCTTATTTATTCCATTTTGTGTCTTCACCTGGGACGTTTATCTTGTAAGATATTGGTCATAATTGTTAAATTCCTGATCTTAGGATCGATTATAGACAAACATTAGTAATCGGAAGTAAATGATTCTTCTTGTATTCATCTATGTTTCCTGATAAATTTTAGACCAAGCAAAATATCGACCATTGTTATTATGGAGTATATATAATAAATTATGTACTATTATTCCCTTGTTCGCTGTTTTTCCTAACCTTCGTAAGAGTTTTCCCGTTTCAATCACTTTGCGTCAATTATTCTACAAAGAAATAAAGCTACAATCCCTGCAAACATATCAAATTCTGTAGTGAAATTACGACTTCTAAGAGTCTGTGTATTACCTACCTCTTTTTAAGTCACATGCATTACATCATGATTATTGTAGTTAGGACCTTTTCCCGCCCTAACACGAGAAGCTAAATTAAGCAATTCTGGACTCCGAGTAAAACCATTGAAAGCGGAATCGCCATTGCATTTTCAAATGAGTTGAATAACCAGTTAAGGTTCAAGGGATGGTGAATGTAAGGTTACATATATTTCTGCAATATTATACCCATCTATAATCATTTCTAGGTCGACCATGCATAAAATAAATAAACTACCCATATGCATGTAAATTGTTTAAATTCTATATGCGATGCAGAAAATTAGTGCTATTAGAGCTTTAGGTATGTTTTAATAAAATTCCCCAGATTGAAGATAAATACCTATTTTAAAGTCTTTTACAGTTCTACTACTAGCATATACTTTTTTGCATTTTACATCACGGACTGACCTTACTTAGAGAACCATTGAAAACTCGGCAACATTGGATAGCTTTTTCGTCCTAATATGAGACTGCTCTTCACTGCACATCTTCGACCCTATCGGGAATCGAACCCAGGACCCTTAGGTCTGGTAGCGATTATTTAAATTTTAAACCACTGAATGGATGTCCAGTTGTTTACGCCTCTAATTTCAATCAATTCTTTATGTTATGCAACCATCATCCAGTGCTATTGGTTAGTTACTGGCCCACTCTCGTGATGGTTGAACTCCACTGGTCACGATTATCTAGCTAATGTCATTTTGTGATATAGTCTATGAAATTCAACAATCTCCGCAAATTTATACTAATATACGCTTTCTCAAAAACATCACCTTTTTATATGTACTAGTTGCGTATGGTCTCTTTTTCGAAAGTTTCAGTTTCATTTAAAAATGTTGGTAAGATTTATTCAAAGTCGTTAAAATTCCTTTCCCATTTGTATGTTGAATCAAGAAAAATGTACTTGTCACTGTCATTTATTTTAATTCACTAAATATTTGATCGAACCACGTACCAGGGTATAGTCGAGCCGATTTTTCGGGTTTATTGTAGGATAGTAACGACGAAAAATTTAAAATTGTGTTTCATACCTTTCACAATCCACACTAAATTTTCTGCCACCAACACTGAATACAGTTTTTTATTATTATCAAGATGCTTGTTCAATGAGTTGAAATTACAGAGCATACAGTCCAATGTAATATTTAATTTAATTTTATGTTACTATTTTACAGCTTCCAGTGTTGCTGTATTATCTAGTACTGTGTCTTCTAAAATATTAAAAACTATTGCCGAACAAGAAGGGTTTCGATTTGAGGAAACTTTAACTGGTTTCAAATGGTTGGGTAATCGATCCTGTGAGCTTGAGTCGCAAAATATTAAAACAATTTTCGCTTTCGAAGAAGCTATAGGTAAGATTCATCATTATTTCCTGTTATACACTGTTCTTCCTGCAATTTGTTTGTCAATAAGAGAAATCATAAACATCTTATGAATTCGAAGGTCCATTTTATTAGATCGTTTCTTCTAAACTCTTTACTCTTTTTTTGACAATTTGATTTAATATCGAATTTCCTTAAAGCTTCAGTAAAATATTTAATTTTCCGTTTACTAAGCTGGGAATTATATCCGCCTATTTTATGTTTATTAATAGAATTCAGAATATGATTAAGACCTTTAAACCTTTTGTTTTAATCATATATCACAACTGCTTCTTTAAGATTATTTTACACTCGTATATATATATATATATATATATATATATATATATATATATATATATATATATATATATAATGTTTAAGTTAGTACCCAGTCAGTATGTCAGTCAATGAAATTATGTGGTAGTATCAGCAAAGATAAATGTGATATAAAACATACACATTATTTACTAACTGGTAGGCTTCTTCAGTTTCTCATATTAGCTATTAATATGCATCGAAGATGAAACATAACTTATATTCACGCGATACTATTTCATTAATTTAAAGGAATAGTGTAAGGACGGCTCCCAAAGATCTCAAGGAATCTTTAAGAAGCTATAAAAGAGCCGAAGACATTTCGTCTAATCATCGTTTGAAAGAATATTCCAGAATCTCGACGTGTAGCTTCCCGAATGGACAAATGCTACAAATCACTGCATACAGATTGAATGACTGTAATGGTGATTTCGTTTTTATCAAAAACGATAAATACCTGAGTATTTTGCACCATATTTGACACTGGAATAAGATTCATTTCTACTCTTCTTTTGTGTTCTATGTTGTGACTTGGAAGGTTCTAGCGTTCGAGTGCTCAAGTTATACCGTGGTATTGCAAAAATCCATGTTTTAGATATAACAAATAGTAATCGTGATTGCCTAATAAGTTCTAGTTTAACAGTCCATGACCAGAAAGTTACAAAGAGATTTGTATACTGAATTGTACTCTAGCTCAAATTTTTTTCGGTATGCTTTTTAAAATCCATTTGCTGTAGGTTCTTCTGTTTTTATAGTGATCGACATGATTTTGCAAAATTCCATTAGTTAAATCACATTTCAGTTATCAGTCTGTCATGACTATTCCATTGTTTTTTATTTAATTTCGTAATTATTTGGTGATAAATACAATTTTGTCAGTTAATTAATTAGTAATATCATACAATTATTTTTCCATGGAAATGAAAGAAATCGACATTGTTTATTTTTTAAACTTTAAACTTTTTCTTATACCGGATAACTTCACTTCCATAACCCTTGAGTTTACTCTTATTGTCAGGTTTTATGTGCGGTGATGTTGTCTGGGATAAAGACGGTGTTGGGGCTTTAGCAGTTATGGCTGAACTCACTTCTTATGTTTATCATAAAGGAAAACTATTATCTGATCAATTAATAGAGATTTATAACATGTAAGTGTTAATAAATTGATTATACTTAGGAGATATTAACCTTTATTGATTTTCATTAGAATGGGGATTTGTGGAGATTGTAGTAATTTTAATATTGAATTCTTGAGTCGATCTAAGCTAGACCACCATTGAAAACCTTCTGAGGAGTTTTATACTAGGACGAAACGGCTGTTCAGTGCTTCCAGGTTTTCAGTTGTAGTCTAGCTTAGATCAACTCATGAATTCAACCATTAAAAATTATTGATTTATTGGCTGGTAAAAACACTATCAAACCTTAGGTCCAAAGTGTCTTAGGCCTATTTGACTGTGAAGACTTTAGTTTCGATTCACTGCTTGGTCATCAAGTCCTGAGATGAGGGGAGAAGATATATTCGGTCATTTATAAATTTGATATGATACCATGTTCAAGCAACTACTCAATCAATCGCTGTTGTAAACTCGGTAAATATTTGTCAATTGGTTATTCGAATAGTGACACCTGATATTTTGTTCATCCTACTCTTTTCTTTTTCACTTTTGGGATGGAATATATGTTTCCAGTTAGTTACTAAAACGATCCTAGTGCGTCGTACAGGATATCATCTGGCACATAAATCAAATTATGTGGATTAGTGTTCCTTACATTCATGTCAATCATCCTCCTACGAAGAGCCTTAAATATCACATTATTTCGTCTTTACTTTATTCTTTCTGCAAACTACGTACTGTTGACTATTAACAGTCAAACGTTTGACTTCATCAATGTATTCGAAATTCATGGTTTTCTTTTGAAGATAAGTTTACTGGTTATACCTTTTTTGGGTTTCTAATTACCTTTTATTTAATTGTCATGCAGTTGACTTTTTGAACTCTGTTCGTTCATCATTATAATGTTTTTCTTAACTTTAAGCACGCTCGCACATGTACACACCCTTTTTTCATGACTGATTACTACAATCTACAAAAATGAATAACCTTAAAGAATTGATTTTTTCCCCTCACAATAAGGCCATTAGTGATTTAATTTTGATTTTAAAAATGCATTTGGAACTAATTATAACTAACTGAGCAACCATACCTTTTCCTTTTTGTTTGTTTCATGTAATAATATTTTAAGCTTATGAATATTTGTCAGTTGCTTCTCATTTTTGAATTGACTAGATTCTATCAGCTGATGGCATATCCACATATTCTTAGATTACTTATACATTCTAGTAAACTTCCAAGTGAATTAAATTTGACTATTCGAGAGATCGCGAATTTTTTTCGAAATCAGATAAATGCATGATTTTTAAGAATCAATGTAGATAAAATGTTTTGGTCCATAGCTTCCTGTTGATTAACTCGGAGAATCGTACTTTATATTTTTTGAATATTCAATGATGATTGTGTTGTCATGGTTACTAGTAGCGACGCATAAAATTTTAGCATTCTAGGAATTCTACTTCATCTAAACTCAGTTTTGTTCGCTATAATGCAGCGTACACGAGGATACATGTAAATATTATGTAGGAATTACATGTTTGTATTGTAACAAATATGTTCCTACAGACTAGTAATTTCATCAAAAATGATTCTATATCAAAGATCATAAACATTTCTAAACTATGTGAGATCAACTATTCCTTTATTACATGAATTGCTAGGATCTTAAAATAAATTCCTCTAATAGTTCAATCATCAAGTATTGGAGTCTACATTTTGACTTTTCTGCGCGAGACTGTTAGGTCCTGGGTTCGAATCCCGCGAAGCGGGGTCGTGGATGAGCACTGCTGAGGAGTCCCACAATAATACAAAACGGCCGTCCAGTGCTTCCGGATTTTCCATGGTGGTCTAGCTTCAATTGACTCATGATCTCAACTATTGAAATTACTACAATCTCCACAAAACCCCTTCTGATACTTTTCTGCTAATGTTTGTAAAAATCAGAATTCATCCAATAGCCATAAATCATTTTCCACTATTATCGTTTTTGATGATCTGCAAATATATCTTTCATACAAGAGTTATTTTCACTAACACCTTATTTTAACCACAGACTTTTCATCTATTCATTTATTCCAATAGCCCGTTGGATACTTTAGTTCAATGTAATGATTCGAACACATCTGGGGGAAAAAAGTGGCATGCTTCATTCTAGTCAATTAAAGTTATTTCATTAAGCACTTTAACTAATAACCATTTTACGAATGTTGATAATTTAAATAAGTAATTAGAACGGGGAGCGGAAATTTTTCAGATCCAAAGTTTACACCACTGTTCATCAGTGAATTCTAGCAAGAACCATGTATTTTAGACCATTTTTACCAATTGCAGAAATAAACACGTTTTTTTTATTTCACATACTTAACTCTATATTATACACCTAATATGGACAAATTATTACTTTCTTTGCTGCCTTTTCACGTTATTTTTTATTGAATATCAGTTATGGTCAACATATTTCCAATAATGGTTATTACTTTTGTCATGAACCGGAGAAAATTGTTAAAATGTTCAATCGCATACGTAATTGGCCTAATGAACCTGGTCCTAAAGGCTATCCTCAAAAACTTGGTCGATTTCAAATAACTGGTATACGGGATTTAACAGTTGGTTATGATGATCATTATCCAGACTTAAAACCGGTAATATTAATTCAATTCCACACTAATGTGAACCATTTCCTGCTATTGTTTTCAATTAAAGTTGAATTAGGACTAACACTAGGATCCGGGATTTATATTTCGTTTGCTGAGTATATTTGAATCTTACTGTTATTGTCTGTGTTAAGACGTGAACTGAGTACCTTTGACTTCAAATTCCAACAAGTCATCCACTATGTTGTTGAGTCCAAGTAGGCACTATCTTGTGCAATCAACATGAATTTTGTTTACAAGAGTATGGATTTTCCCTTTGTTAATATCTTTCTTGGTATATATGCATTCTAAGCAAATTACCCTGATGTTAAGATTTAATCATAAGTTTTTATTAAAGTTAAATGACGATTGCAATAGAATCCAGAATACACGTTCTGTCCTATTGTATTGCTTTTTTGTCAATTCAATTTATACATTATTTAAAATTCATACTTGTTCGAAGTAAATGCACTGTGTAAAATTATATCATATACGTAGGAAGATAGGTATACATGTGCATCACACAACAATGTAATCACGTTTTCATAAAGCTTGATAATGTGTGTTTTATGATATTGCGCTCGTTTAATTAACCTAAGGTCATCGAATCGGAGTCAAAACGTTTAATAAACTGTTTATGTGTAGTAATGCATTGATATAGATCAAGTAAACCAATTTGAAAATTGACTATACCATGATAAAAAAATATTTAATTTCAAAAGGAATCATCTTATCAGTAAGCTTAGTAGGTATTACGCTACGTATTCTATGCAAATAAATAATAGAATACAGTGATTCTTTTTTTCATATCTTGTCATTCATATGTGTAGTAATTTAATGCTTTAATGTTTAACTCTTTCGTTTAGTCCACCAATGAAATATCTGACTTAATTTCTTCTTTTCTGTCCAGGTATTACCTGTTAGTAAGTCAAGTCAGTTGATTACTTTCGATTTCTCAAATGGTGTGACACTAACGCTTCGTACAAGTGGAACTGAACCAAAAATTAAATATTATTCTGAATTGAGGTCGAAACCTGGGAGCGAGTAAGTGATTTAATTTTTCTAACATTATCGTTTCTTAGTATAAAATCCCTCAGTAATCCATACTTCCAGCATATTTTGATATCATGTTTATTATTTTTAAGACTCGTCGAGAACATCTTAATGATTTGCAATACAGTAGTAATAACACCTTCAATAGTAGTCAACTTGATCATTGAATTGTTTTGTTGTACATGTCACAACTTTCTATTAGATTCTAACTTGTAACGATTAACTGACACTACGTCTAACATGCGACTTAGCTATCTTAAATATAGTTTCAGAATCGATTTTGAGTAGTCTTTGATGTAGGTTTTCGCACTACTCCTCAACAGGTACCCAGTTTTTCATGCTTTTAGACAATTTTTAATTTGTGCATCATCTTATGGAAAATATTTTCGAATCAGTCAGTGTTTTCAAAGTAATGTGCCACATTGTTTGTTTCTTTTTGTTATATGTATCTACTTTTTTATATACTTATTGTTATTAGGATGATGTAATTATGCCATCTATTTTACAGTAATACACTGTAACACGGTAAAAGTAGGGAAAATAACGAAACTAACAGGAAAGAAAATAATAACAATAGAAAACAATTTATGACAGAAAATAAAACATTTTTGAAAAGCTTATTCGTTTGATGAGAATGGATGTGTTATTACGATTGATCCTTAGTCATTTCGTTTTTTAAAGGCCCTCCTCGTCCCCCTAACTAAATATTATTGGTTGATGTCTGATAGATCCATGATAAATGGACTTTTTCAGTTTTCAACCTGATTTCACTCAGCTTTCATAAAAATCACTTGACCATTGCAATGTTTTGTTCTAATCACTGTAATACTCACTGTCATTGTAATTCCTATAGCTAAACCAACAAGTATAGAGATTTAGGAGATAATTACCTGTGACATAGAAGATGGTTCTCGATAATTTTTTATCTCACAAAGTGGAAATCCAATTTTTTTTACATTTAGAATCTTAATCTAGAGGAATGGTGTTTTTCTCATCCAACATTATGAAGTGAATTCATCAAATCTGAAAATATTTCTTCCTATGAATTTAGACTAGCCGAGAATGAATTACAAGCAAGGTGTATCACTTTAGTAAAAATTCTTATCATGTGGCTCGTGACGAATATTCTGAAATTGTAGTGTAAAATAGTAGTAGTAGTTTACTTATTGACTACTCTATTGGATGAGGATCATATCCTATTGCAAATTAATGAAATTTAGAAATATAGATCACTGGATTCTACTTCAAGTATGATACTTAGATCGACACTTCAGTATCCTATATTCATTCTCAAGTGAGCTCCCAAATGTGTACTGATATGGAGTAGTTACAGACTAGAACAAAATAACTATCGAGTACATTCTAGTTTTTAATGATCCTTTATATTAATTTGTAGTACAAATTACCTTCATTTTGTAGAAAAGTTTTATGAAACCACTTTAGTAAATGATATTTGTTTATTTATGAGGAAATAATGTTAATGTGTAACTCTTCTCCAAGATTATTAGTATCTTCATATGAAGATACTTCTCTTTTTTTTCTTTTACACACTCTACTTCTCGACTTGTTGATATAAGCTGTGAAAACTTATACCAATTTACATTCATCAAAGATATCTGAACAATTGACTATTTTACGTTTATTAATCAGTTAAGTTCATATCATTCTATTTGTTTCATACATTCAACTGCAAAGTTTTATTCAAAGATATGAAGTAATCTAATGAATTTTATATTATTCACATGTGAAATTTAATTTAATTAACTAAATAGTTTGATTAAAAGAAAATTGTTTATTACTAACTATATACGTGACCATTTATTGTTTAGGTTAAAATCTATTGTGTTATATATTAGTTTAGATGAACCCTTTCTATTCTTACATAAATGATTATTTCTAATTTATCTATTTAATGTAATTCATGTATTAACACAGATTATAAATGAAACGTTAATTATAATTCACAACAACAACAACAAAAATCGTACACATCAAGAAATATTAATGTTAAGAATTCTATCTAACTATATTCAATTCATGTAAATTTATCTAACTGTAAAACTAATTAATTTGACTTGAATTTCTTAGCAATAACCAAATTTTTTTTAAAAAAAAATTCAATGTCAAGAAAAATAAGCGGTAAGACTATAATTTATGGACAATCTTTGAGCGACGCTAGACTGACTTTGAAACCGTTCATCTAATAACTAGGACCAAATAGGGTTATAAATCTGCGTGAGGAATTCGAATTTTAATTTACAGTTGATGGTTAAGGTTAGTAATTATATTTAGGGGTTTTCATCACAAACTGACATCAGCTATAATGTCAAATTGGTATTTAACCAAATGGGTGGGTTAACTCTGTGTTGAATGATGGATGTAATAAAAATTCAAATGAGAAATAAGTTAGATGAATTTATTTTAGACATTCGTTTACTCAGACAGATACGTAGGTAAGAGGCGAAGCGGAAAAACCAAGCATACCGACTTGATTTGACAAAGCATAACTCAATATTTATAGCCAGATAGAAAAATCAGATATGTGATGAATTGAACAAGCGATACATACATATACAATCATATATAAATGGTCAAAGTTAGAATGGGATAGATGACAAAATCAAGTATAAATGCTGACTCAAAAAGTATAAATCAATTAATCTGCTCAAAAGCCGAAATAATCCATGTAGGTGTGACAGCACTAGAAGTTGTAGTCTTTTAATATTAGTTGATATTTCTCACTGATGTCTCATGAATATAAAATCAGTGCATGCTGAACACCATCTACTCTCTAGTGTATATTAAAAAGAATTTATGTTGAATCCATTGTAAATTCCATCAATATACTAATTGCGTCTATTTGGTTTTCTTTTTTTTTAACCAAAACAAAAATCAATGAATTCCAGAGCATCTGTGGAATCTTTAACAAATGAACTTCAAGAACTTGTGAATAAAATGATTGAAGAATTTTATGAACCTGAAAAAAATAGTTTCCTTCCTCGTGTGGATTAAATTGACGTTGTTATTTACTTATTTGTTTTAGTTGTTTATTAGTTTAAAGGAAAAAAAATCATGCTTTGTTTTTTTTTGTTGTTGTTCTATGTACTTTTGTTTGTTCACTCTTTGTTATTGACCTTTTTCTCTATTTTGTTTATTTATTTATTAGTTCACTAATTTAATAAATTTTGAATGATATTTTCTGTTAATTTGTAGCTTTGATTTTCAATTTCATTTTGATGAACAGAAAAATAAAGTGTTTTAATTATTTGTTATTGTGGTTTAATGTTAATTATTTCTGTTATATATGACTGAATCTACTGGTATCTGTTGTTATCTCAGTTGTTAACACAGATAATTGAATAACGTTGCTTATCTAATAATGTCAAGATTCTAATTGGAATGGTAAATAATGGGATTGGAAATGTGCGAAATTTCTGATCTACTGATGAGGGATGTATATGTATCGTAATTATCTTTGACATTCTCAATCTATTCCATACTCAATCTTTCTTAATTCAAACATAATTTATATACATTCGATTTTCAGTAACACCTGTTACTGACAAATATTTATTTTAAAGAGAGTAAAAACAAAGGTTGGTGCAGAATAATATGAATTCATTTTATTTCGTTAGGTTCTCATCAGCTGCTTACAACCTAAAATATTTGAAATTCAACGTTATTATAGATATTGACATACTTATACAACAGAGGGCGATGAAGGATGAATATATGTAACATAATGTGGCAAAGATTTCGTTAGAGTTAATGAGGTCATAAAATTTTGTTTCGAATATATAGAGTTTGGGAGGGAAGGTTCCAGAAAATTGAAATAGTGATTAGAAATCATGGAATTAAAACACATTAGACGATTATGTAATGAAGTAACTGAAAATAGATTAATGTTAATAAAGAGAGATATGAATTGAAATTGGTCAGTTATGAATGATGTAATTATAAAATTCAGAAAGAGTTGAAATGACGTAATAAAAATAAATAAAATAAAAGGGGTGGGGTGAATGTTACCAGGGCAAAGAAAGATTTATTACTGTTTCTTTTTGTATACAAAGATCTGGTTTTAAACGTTTGATTGCTATTGCTTCCGCGAATTTCAAAAGGTTTGAATTTGATTGTTTGTTGATCACCTTGAAGGACTTCAGTATATCGACTTCGTGTCCTGTGTCAAGGAGATGTCTTGCGACAGCGCTGCTAAATGCTTTTAGTCCGTTTGATCTCAAACTGTTCGGAATATGTTCTTTGAATCGGACGTAGGCTCTCCTTTCTGTTCTACCAATGTAACTGCTTTGGCAGATACATGTAAATTTGTATACACAGTTGGTGGTAACATGAAAGGGATACCTGTCGACCTTTGATTGTGTCAAAGAACATGTCGTTTTGGACAGGACAATCAATTTAGCTGCAGGATATGTTTTTGTCAGTGCAGTTTTTAGTCTCATATTGATTGACCCTGTGACATTATCGCCTTTGAACTTGAGTTGAATAAAAACAGGTTTTTTATTTACTGTAGTTTCTTTGGGTATTTTATCTTCACGTTTTCCATATTTCTCAATGAATTTCAATGGGTATCCGTTATTTCTTAAACACTTTTTAACATTCATAATTTCCTCTTCTATTGTATCGGCAGTACATATTCTTTCTGTTCTATGAAACAGTGTTTTGACAAGTGCCTTTTTATAATTGATTGGACAAAAGCTGTTGAAATTGAGATAAATACCATTCCATGTGTCTTTCTTATAAACTGAGCGTTGAACTGTGCCATCCTTTCTTCGTTTTATCGCTATATCGAGGAAATGGAACATGTTTTCTTTTTCATGTTCCATAGTGAAATGAATATTTGGATGAGCTTCATTGAAAAACTTTAACAGATTTGTTGCATGTTGTTGATTATTACATAAGATGAATGTATCATCAACATACCTCGAATAATACATCATTTCATCAATCGCTCCTTTGAGCTTGGTTCTTTCGAGGTTAGCCATGAAAATGTCTGCTAGGACGGGGCCTAACGGACTTCCCATTGCTACACCATCGGTTTGTCGGTATATAGTATTGTTGAACTGGAACTGAACATCTTTTGTACACAAGAGTATGAGTCGTTTGAATTCTATTGCTGGTAGAGGTAGGATATCAGGATGTTGACAAATTATGTCTATGGTTTCAAGAAGTGGTATTTTTGTAAACAATGATGTCACATCAAACGAAACCATAAACTTACCAGCATTACGAAATATTAAACCAAATGATGATATTACGGTCAGATAAAGGTTCAAGTGTTGTCCTAATGAACACAACAGATTATGTCTCTAAGATGAATTCCATTTTGAGTGACCACACGAGATTCAAGTTGGAAAAAATAACAAAGACTTAACTGACTCCACCGAGAAAAGAATCACGAAAGTACTCAGAGACCTACTGAAAAAGGAGATGATCGATAATTCTACTTACAATAACCTACGACCTCGTGGGTCTCGTTTGCCCCACATGTATAGTCTACCGAAAATACATAAACAAGATAATCCTCTTAGACCTATTATGTCAACGGTCAATTCACCATACCACAAAGTTGCAAGATGGCTGGCAGATAAATTAGAACCATTTTGTCAACGATTAGCCACTTATACACTGAAGGATTCATTTGTATTTGCTGATAGCATGAATCACATAAGTCGATATACTGAAGTCCTTCAAGGTGATCAACAAACAATCAAATTCAAACCTTTTGAAATTCGCGGAAGCAATAGCAATCAAGCGTTTAAAACCAGATCTTTGTATACAAAAACAGTAATAAATCTTTCTTTGCCCTGGTAACATTCACCCCACCCCTTTTATTTTATTTATTTTTTATTACGTCATTTCAACTCTTTCTCAATTTTATAATTACATCATTCATAACTGACCAATTTCAATTCATATCTCTCTTTATTAATATTAATCTATTTTCAGTTACTTCATTACATAATCGTCTAATGTGTTCTAATTCCATGATTTCTAATCACTATTTCAATTTTCTGGAACCTTCCCTCCCAAACTCTATATATATTCGAAACAAAATTTTATGACCTCATTAACTCTAACGAAATCTTTGCCACATTATGTTACATATATTCATCCTTCATCGCTCTCTGTTGTATAAGTATGTCAATATCTATAATAACGTTGAATTTCAAATATTTTAGGTTGTAAGCAGCTGATGAGAACCTAACGAAATAAAATGAATTCATATTATTCTGCACCAACCTTTGTTCTTACTCTCTTTAAAATAATAAAGGGAACTATGTGTATGAATATTTATTGATAGTATATCTATTTCACTGATGATTTATATATGGCTGGATTGTAGGAAATTTATTATACTTGAGTTTTTATGAGCTCACCAATATTTTGACATACGAATAGCTGATGGTCTCTAAAATGGGTGAAGCGTGTGTCCTCAGTTCACTGTTTAACAGGTGGATTGGTACGCTTGTGTTTCACTACTACTAATTTTTCTTGTACGTTAAACATGTGATCGGTAAGCTATAACTCAATATATTTAGTTACTTGCTACCGTTTCGAACGTACTTTGGGTTTTATCTAACATAAGTGATATCCTTCCACACTCCTAACTATCTTTAAGATTTTTCACATTGAAACGCTCTTATCTTTTTTAGATAAGATTTAGTATCCCACATAAACATTCTCCAGTTGACAATCTTGATATTATCAATCACTGTATGTAATTAAACCTAAGATAATTCTTTGTAAAAGATGACTTTCAGAGTTTTCTTCCAAAAACAATAATAAGGAAGCTGATTCAGTGTTGTTTTTGCTGGAACAATGTCATATTGATAAATATTGGTTGAATTGGTCAAGGCAATTGTACGTTGAACAATAATTCGCTGTTTTCGTTGCTCTATTTAGGCTAAATGACGGTCTACACATTAATCGAACGAACTCATACTTCTGCGTATTATAGGATTAATGAAAGAATTTATTTCAAGTCCACTTTTATAATAATACAGTTAATAACGTTACCTAACACAAGTTAAAATTTGAAACATAAAAATTGAACCGATTTCAAAATCATGCAAGAAAAATATTGTAGTAAATAATGTATTGGATCTCAGTGTGTAAAACTTTCCTAATTCCCCATGTTTCAATATCTGTTTAGATGAGTGGATAAACATGGTTAATTTTACTTATGATGTGACTTGATGTAAGTCCCGAGTACGTCTTCAAAAATGTATGTTTATTTAAATTCCAACTACTTTATAATAAGACAAAAACTTGAATATATCGATTTAATCTGCATAAGATGTACATATGCTAATCAAGATTAATCAAAATCCAGTCAAAAATATGAAAACGGGATAATCTTAAGCATTACAAATTAAAAGTCCTACCCGTTGCACAAGTAAATCAATATTTGACTTCTGTAGCTAAGTGGATATTATGTTGATGTTTAAAAAGAAATTTACAGGGTTCTAACGGTGGAGTGGATGTCATCTTTGGGATTGATGTGCATCCAGTTGAAGGGTACCGAACAGGACTAAATACGTGTTCTGGATATCACTACTAACCACATTCCGTCTATACTTTGTAATAAATCTAAAGGTTACTATTTACTACTTTGATTGTCCAGTTACCTATATTCGTGTCAATACTGTGGATATCAGGGAGCTTTCTATTAGATGTTTTTTCTACATTCTTCCAAAGTGATTGTTAACAGATTTTCATTTTCGAACATGATTTGTTTCACAATCGTCGGTCGCTTAATATTTTTGTATGCTAACTAAGTTACTTATGAGTAGTCAAACCAGAAATTCGTAATAATAAGACACTCAATCTTCGGTTTACCAGAAATTAAAAGATTGCGTGGTATTCGTAACGTATACTGGAATTACCTAGTTTCTTAACCTTTGCTAATCGAGTCTATCTTGGGAGTTACTACTGAAGGGTTATAAATCAATTTCACCAACATCGAAATTGGACCATAGTTCAATAAAAAGATTAGTTGGAACAAGATTTTTTCCCGCGTGATTAAAACATATATGACGAAAGTAAACATGGATTCTAGTTTTCTGGTCCGTGATATTGAGCGACCATCACAAATACCTTTCACGATATTTACCTCTTTTTCATCATTTTCAGACCCTATCAATGGTGTCTAGAGATTAAAGAATTCTCAAACTTAGTCACTAGCAAACACAAATTCTATTAAGGTAAGAAATCAGCTTGAGCTGCTTAATGCAAATCATTCACTATTTATAACAATTTAATAACCCAGTTATTGTACAAGCACTTGTTTATTTCCGAAAATG